GGGTGAGGGACGGGCGGTGAGGGACGGCGGGTGAGGGACGGCGGGTGAGGGACGGCGGGTGAGGACGGCGGGTGAGGGACGGCGGGTGAGGGACGGCGGGTGAGGGACGGCGGGTGAGGGACGGCGGGTGAGGGACGACGGGTGAAGGGACGGCGGGTGAGGGACGGCGGGTGAGGGTCGACGGGTGAGGGACGGCGGGTGAGGGACGGCGGGTGAGGGTCGACGGCGGGTGAGGGACGGCGGGTGAGGGACGGCGGGTGAGGGACGGCGGGTGAGGATCGGGTGAGGGAGGCGGTGAGGGACGGCGGGTGAGGGTCGGCGGGTGAGGACGGCGGGTGAGGTCGGCGGGTGAGGGTCGGCGGGTGAGGGACGGCGGGTGAGGGACGGCGGCGTGAGGGACGGCGGGTGAGGGACGGCGGGTGAGGGTGGCGGCGGGTGAGGGACGGCGGGTGAGGGACGGCGGGTGAGGACGGCGGGTGAGGGAGGCGGGTGAGGGTCGGACGGGGTGAGGGACGGCGGGTGAGGGTCGGCGGGTGAGGACGGCGGGTGAGGGACGGCGGGTGAGGGTCGGCGGGTGAGGGACGGCGGGTGAGGGCGGCGGGTGAGGGTCGGCGGTGAGGGACGGGTGAGGGACGGCGGGTGGCTCCTGGTGCGACTGTCGACCAGAGCAAACTGTCCTCAAACTGTCCTCAGTCATCTCCATGGAGACGAGCAGGTGACAGAGCGTCCTCCAGAAGGTTCCTCGGTGCAGCTTTAGGACCAGACGACGCTGGGGTGTGGAGATGTTCTGACCTGCTGAAGTCCTCGTCCTCCAGCTCGTCTCCGGACTCGTCCTGCTCTCGGGGTTTGGGGATCAGGATGGAGCTGCTCACGTCCGAGTCTCTGCGGGACAAACGGGTCAAAGTTCAAAGGTCAAAGGTCATGGAGGCTCCCCGTCACCAGGGGGCGGCGCCGTTCTTACCCGGGCAGGTACAGCGGTCTCCCCGGGTCCAGACGGTCCAGAAAGTCCCGGGACCCGCCCACTTTCTCGTTGGGGGCGTTGACCAGGAACTCGGGATCTCCAGACACGTTATTGACCTGAAGCGAGAGGAGAACCTTCACCTGACGGAACCTTCACCTGACGGAACCTTCACCTGACGGAACCTTCACCTGACGGAACCTTCACCTGACGAAACCTCAACAAACAGAACCTTAGAAAAGTTAAGTTCACATGAAAATAAAATAAAAACATGTTCACGTGTAAAAGGAGCAAATTAAAAACTCTAATTTAAAGAAATAAATTAAACTGAGTCAAAAAGGACATAAAAAAGCATTTGTTTTCTCTGTTTTTGCTCTTCAAGTGTCATGTTTGGTTTAATCTTAAAAATCAACATTTGTGAATAAAATATTTACAATATGAATAAAATGTTGACACCAAATTCCATTTTTTGATCATCTATAAACTACGACGGAGTAAAAGGGTCAGATAAAAAAAAAAAAAAACATGCTGGCGCAACGAGAATCAAGTCGTAACATTTTGACATTAAAGTCGTAATAAAATCAAAGTCAAAGTGAAAAATGCGTCAGAAGAACAACCTTGTTTTTCAATATAAAACCAAAAAAAACAATTTTCTTCATTATTTGTGCCTCCGGACTAAACCAGGACTAAACCAGGACTAAACCAGGTCTAAACCAGGACTAAACCAGGTCTAAACCAAGACTGAACAAGGTCCGAGACCAGACCGGGACTGAGACCAAGACTTAGACAAGGACTGAGTCAGGGACCAAGACTGAGACCGGGATCAGACAAGAACTGAAAAGGGTTTAGTCCTGGTTTAGTCCTGGTTTAGTCCTGGTTTAGTCCTGGTTTAGTCCTGGTTTAGTTCTGGTTTAGTCCTGGTTTAGTCCTGGTTTAGTCCTGGTTTAGTCCTGGTTTAGTCTGGTTTAGTCCTGGTTTAGTTCTGGTTTAGTCCTGGTTTAGTCTGGTTTAGTCCTGGTTTAGTCCTGGTTTAGTCCTGGTTTAGTCCTGGTTTAGTCCTGGTTTAGTTCTGGTTTAGTCCCGGTTCAGTCCTTGTTCAGTCGAATGAACGAATGATACACAGATTCTTCTCCTTTACAAAATGCTCCAAATTCTCCACGAGCCGCTGAGATTCTCCTGATATTAACACTTTATTTTGACACAACTTTATTCTCGTAAAAATACGACTTTATTCTCAAAAAATTTCGACTTTTTTCTCATAAAATTACCACTTTTTTCTCATAAAGTTACCACTTTAATGTCGAAATGTTAGGTTAGGGTTAGGTCAACTACAGGTCTAACTACAGGTCAACTACAGGTCTAACTACAGGTCAACTACAGGTCTAACTACAGGTCTAACTACAGGTCTAACTACAGGTCTAACTACAGGTCTAACTACAGGTCTAACTACAGGTCTAACTACAGGTCTACTACAGGTCTAACTACAGGTCTACAGGTCTAACTACAGGTCTAACTACAGGTCTAACTACAGGTCTAACTACAGGTCTACTACTACAGGTCTACACTACAGGTCTACAGGTCTACTAGGTCTAACTACAGGTCTACTACAGGTCTACTACAGGTCTAACTACAGGTCTAACTACAGGTCTAACTAACTAGGTCTAACTACAGGTCTAACTACACAGGTCTAACTACAGGTCTAACTACAGGTCTACTACAGGTCTACAGGTCTAACTACTACAGGTCTACTACAGGTCTACTACAGGTCTACTACAGGTACTACAGGTCTAACTACAGGTCTAACTACTACAGGTCTACTACAGGTCTACTACAGGTCTACTACAGGTACTACAGGTCTAACTACAGGTCTAACTACTAACAGGTCTAACTACAGGTCTAACTACAGGTCTACTACAGGTCTAACTAACTACTACAGGTCTAACTAGGTCTAGGTCTAACTACAGGTCTAGGTCTACTACAGGTCTAACTACAGGTCTAACTACAGGTCTAACAGGTCTAACAGGTACTACAGGTCTAACTACAGGTCTAACTACAGGTCTAACTACAGGTCTACTACAGGTCTACCTACAGGTACTACAGGTCTACTACAGGTCTACTACAGGTCTAACTACAGGTCTACTACAGGTCTAACTACAGGTCTACTACAGGTCTACTACAGGTCTAACTACAGGTCTAACTACAGGTCTAACTACAGGTCTACTACAGGTCTAACTACAGGTCTAACTACAGGTCTACTACAGGTCTACTACAGGTCTACTACAGGTCTACTACAGGTCTACTACAGGTCTACTACAGGTACTACGGTCTACTACAGGTCTAACTACACTACAGGTCTAACTACAGGTCTAACTACACAGGTCTAACTACAGGTCTAACTACAGGTCTACTACAGGTCTACTACAGGTCTACTACAGGTCTAACTACAGGTCTACTACAGGTCTACTACAGGTCTACTACAGGTCTAACTACAGGTCTACTACAGGTCTACTACAGGTCTACTACAGGTCTAACTACAGGTCTACTACAGGTCTACTACAGGTCTACTACAGGTCTACTACTACAGGTCTAACTACTAGGTCTAACAGGTCTACTACAGGTCTACTACAGGTCTAACTACAGGTCTAACTACAGGTCTAACTACAGGTCTAACTACAGGTCTACTACTACTACAGGTCTACTACTACTACAGGTCTAACTACAGGTCTAACAGGTCTACTACAGGTCTAACTACAGGTCTAACTACACAGGTCTACTACAGGTCTACTACAGGTCTAACTACAGGTCTAACAGGTCTAACTACAGGTCTACTACAGGTCTACTACAGGTCTACTACAGGTCTCTACTACAGGTCTAACTACAGGTCTAGGTCTACTACAGGTCTACTACAGGTCTACTACAGGTCTACAGGTCTACTACAGGTCTAACTACAGGTCTAACTACACAGGTCTAACTACAGGTCTACTACAGGTCTACTACAGGTCTAACTACAGGTCTAACTACAGGTCTAACTACAGGTCTAACTACAGGTCTACTACAGGTCTAACTACAGGTCTACTACAGGTCTAACTACTACTAGGTCTACTACAGGTCTAACAGGTCTACTACAGGTCTAACTAGGTCTACTACAGGTCTAACTACAGGTCTACTACAGGTCTACTACAGGTCTAACTACAGGTCTACTACAGGTCTACTACAGGTCTACTACAGGTCTACTACAGGTCTAACTACAGGTCTACTACAGGTCTAACTACAGGTCTAACTACAGGTCTAACTACAGGTCTACTACAGGTCTAACTACAGGTCTAACTACAGGTCTACTACAGGTCTAACTACAGGTCTACTACAGGTCTAACTACAGGTCTAACTACAGGTCTAACTACAGGTCTACTACAGGTCTACTACAGGTCTAACTACAGGTCTACTACTACACAGGTACTACAGGTCTACTACAGGTCTACTACAGGTCTACTACAGGTCTACAGGTCTACTACAGGTCTAACTACTACAGGTCTAACTACAGGTCTACTACTACAGGTCTAACTACAGGTCTAACTACAGGTCTACTACAGGTCTACTACAGGTCTACTACAGGTCTAACTACAGGTCTAACTACAGGTCTAACTACAGGTCTACTACAGGTCTAACTACAGGTCTACTACAGGTCTAACTACAGGTCTACTACAGGTCTAACTACAGGTCTAACTACAGGTCTAACTACAGGTCTAACTACAGGTCTACTACAGGTCTAACTACAGGTCTAACTACAGGTCTAACTACAGGTCTAACTACAGGTCTAACTACAGGTCTACTACAGGTCTACTACAGGTCTACTACAGGTCTACTACAGGTCTACTACAGGTCTACTACAGGTCTACTACAGGTCTACTACAGGTCTAACTACAGGTCTACTACAGGTCTACTACAGGTCTACTACAGGTCTACTACAGGTCTAACTACACAGGTCTACTACAGGTCTAACTACAGGTCTACTACAGGTCTACTACAGGTCTACTACAGGTCTACTACAGGTCTACTACTACTACAGGTCTACTACAGGTCTACTACAGGTCTACTACTACACAGGTCAACTACAGGTCTAACTACAGGTCTAACTACAGGTCTACTACAGGTCTAACTACTACAGGTCTAACTACAGGTCTAACTACAGGTCTACTACAGGTCTACTACAGGTCTACTACTCTACACAGGTCTAACTACACAGGTCTAACTACAGGTCTACTACAGGTCTAACTACAGGTCTAACTACAGGTCTAACTACAGGTCTAACTACAGGTCTACTACAGGTCTACTACAGGTCTACTACAGGTCTACAGGTCTACTACAGGTCTAACTACAGGTCTACTACAGTCTAACTACAGGTCTAACTCTACTAGGTCTACAGGTCTACTACAGGTCTACTACAGGTCTACTACAGGTCTAACTAGGTCTAACTACAGGTCTAACTACAGGTCTACTACAGGTCTACTACAGGTCTAACTAGGTCTACTACAGGTCTACTACAGGTCTACAGGTCTACTACAGGTCTAACTACTCACTTACTACAGGTCTAACTACAGGTCTAACTACAGGTCTAACTACAGGTCTAACTACACAGGTCTACTACAGGTCTAACTACAAGGTCTACTACATAACAGGTCTAACTACTACAGGTCTACACAGGTCTACTACAGGTCTAACTAACGGTCTACTACAGGTCTACTACAGTCTACTACAGGTCTAACTACAGGTCTAACTACAGGTCTACTACAGGTCTAACTACAGGTCTAACTACAGGTACTACTAGGTCTAACTACTACAGGTCTAACTACAGGTCTACTACAGGTCTACTACAGGTCTAACTACAGGTCTACTACAGGTCTAACTACAGGTCTAACTACAGGTCTAACTACAGGTCTAACTACAGTACACAGGTCTACTACAGGTCTACTACAGGTCTACTACAGTACAGGTCTAACTACAGGTCTAACTACAGTCTACAGGTCTACTACAGGTCTACTACAGGTCTACTACAGGTCTAACTACAGGTCTACTAGGTCTACTACAGGTCTAACTACAGGTCTACTACAGTCTACTACAGGTCTAACTACAGGTCTACTACAGGTCTACTACAGTCTAACACTACTACAGGTCTAACTACAGGTCTACTACAGGTAATCATAGTAGTAGCAGCAGTAGCAGTAGTAGTAGTACAGTAGTACTTGTAGCAGTAGTACTTGTAGCAGTAGTACTTGTAGCAGTAGCTGTAGTACTTGTAGCAGTAGCTGTAGTACTTGTAGCAGTAGCTGTAGTACTTGTAGCAGTAGCTGTAGTACTTGTAGTACTTGTAGTAGTAGCAGTAGCTGTAGTACTTGTAGTAGTAGCAGTAGCTGTAGTACTTGTAGTTCTTGTAGTAGTAACAGTAGCTGTAGTACTTGTAGTAACAGTAGCTGTAGTACTTGTACTTGTAACAGTAGCTGTAGTACTTGTACTTGTAACAGTAGCTGTAGTACTTGTACTTGTAACAGTAGCTGTAGTACTTGTATTACAAGTTGCTGTTGTGTGTTCTGGGCCACACCCAGAAACTACAAATGAAACTCTCCTTTTGTTTCTATCAGCGACATCAAGAAGGAATGTGGAACTAAACCAGGACCAAAACTGGACTAAACCAGGTCCAAAACTGGACTAAACCAGGTCCAAAACAAGACTAAACCAGGACCAAAACAAGACTAAACCAGGACCAAAACAAGACTAAACCAGGACTAAACCAGGACCAAAACAAGACTAAACCAGGTCTAAAACAAGACTAAAACAAGACCAAAACAGGACTAAAACAAGACTAAACAGAGTCTGAACCAGGACTAAAACAAGACCAAAACAGGACTAAACTGGGTCTATGTCAGGAGCAGTGTGTTACACTTCCATGTCTTGCCCAAAGGCACCAACACAACATGAGTAAATAAGGGGAATCAGTCCCACAGCCTCCAGGTTCTATTCTCCAACAATAAAACTCCAGTCTGTGCTTTAGTTTAAAAACATTTATTCCAAAATTATAGAAAATATTAACACTTTTTTTTTTTACAAATAACATTAAAAACGACTTTCTGCTGTTTCATATTTTACAAAAGAGTCAAACAAAGTCCAGACCTGATCCAGGACCAGAACCAGAACCAGAACCTGATCCAGGACCAGAACCAGAACCTGATCCAGGACCAGGACCAGAACCAGCCCCTGTATCACATAAACTGACTCTGAGCTTTAACTATGTTCTACTGTTCTAATGTTCTGTTGTTCTGTTGTTCTGTTGTTCTGATGTTCTGTTGTTCTGTTGTTCTGATGTTCTGTTGTTCTGTTGTTCTGTTGTTCTGTTGTTCTGTTGTTTGTTGTTCTAATGTTCTGTTGTTCTGTTGTTCTGTTGTTCTGTTGTTCTGTTGTTCTGATGTTCTGTTGTTCTAATGTTCTAATGTTCTGTTGTTCTGTTGTTCTGATGTTCTGTTGTTCGTTTGTTTATTCTGAGTTTGTTACATCTGCAAAACTCCAAACACTCTGTTCCACCTTGTGATGTCATCAAGTGAACAGCTCCTTTTCCCTTTGGTTCAGTCGACATCAGCGACTCCAGGACTGAAATGTTCCAGATGATTCTAGTGAAGGTGAAGTGTGGAGTTTAAAAACACAGTGGAGCACTTCCTGTATCACCACATGATGACATCACAAAGAGGAACAGAGTGTTTTCAGTTTGAAAGAGGAACAGGTTTAACCCCAGTGTCTTGTTGAAAATGTTGACAATTGACAAAACTAAATGTTTTTGTTTTGTTTGTTGTGTTGCTCCACTGACTCCCATTATAAAAACGATCTTTTATTAAAAGTCTAAAAATGTTTTTGCCTTTTATTTTATGTTTTTATTATTTAAAATATATATGTATATTTTTTCATTAAATTACCACATTTTCCACATTTGTCGTTATAATGGGATTTACTGTAACTCCACAAATGAAAACAAATGTGACTTTTCCTGTCGTTTTAAACAAAGGTTTTTCCCGTTGATTTCTCCCGTAGACTTTCATCGACGGAGTTTAAGGGTCCGAAAAAAAAAAAAAAAAAAAAAACATGCTGGAGCTACGAGAATAAAGTAATATTTTTATGAGAATAAAGTTGTGTCAAAATAAAGTGTTAATATCAGGAGAATCTCAGCGGCTCGTGGAGAATTTGGAGCATTTTGTAAAGGAGAAGAATCTGTGTATCATTCGTTCATTCGACTGAATCAGGACTAAACCAGGTCCAGAACCAAACCAGAAAGACCAGGACTGAGACCGGAACCAGACCAGGACTGAAAACGGTTTAGTCCTGGTTTAGTCCTGGTTTAAGTCACGGAAATGGGAAATGGCGTTTCTGTGACTTTAAAATGTGATGCAGAACTGAACCAGGACTGAACCAGGACTAAACCAGGACTGAACCTTTTTCAGTCCTGGTTCAGTTCGGAAGCACAAATAATGAAGAAAATTGTTGTTTTTTCATTTTCTTATTTTTGGTTTTATATTGAAAAACAAGTTTCTTCTTCTGACGCATTTTTCACTTTGACTTTGATTTTATTACGACTTTATTTTAACTTCGACTTTATTCTCATAAAATTACAACTTTAATGTCAAAATGTTACTTTATTCTCTTCGCACCAGCGTGTTTTGTTTTTTTTATCTGACCCTTATACTCCGTCGTAATCTCACTTATAAAAAAAAAAAATTAAAAAAAAAGTTGTTTTTTTTATAGGTGACGGTTTATAGGTCACGGGGGGAGGGGCTAAAACTAGGCACATTTTTGGAAAAGGTTTCTTTTTCTGAAATTCAGTCCACCATTCAAACTATTTCATCTGATTTACTGCAAAAAAAAAAAAAAAGTGTCAAAATGATTTTCACCTTGATTTTGAAAGTGGAGTTAAATGTGTTTATAACGGAAGTCAACGGAAACACAAAAGTCTGAAACACACTCAGGGTTTACAAAAGTTCACGTCGTCAAAATTGTTCCGATCGAGACAAAACTCACAAACTCACATTTTCATGAAAACTGAAGATCCACAGACCAAAGTTCTCACCATAAAAGTTCCTTCAGATTCACAGATTTTCCCTGAACAAGACTCAAAACTAAAAACGGAAAAACTAAGAGAAACTGGAAATTAGAGATCATGTTTTCTTAATAAAGATTGAATTGAATTAAACATGATGAGCACAGACGGAGAACAGGAACTAGACCTGGTTTAGTTCTGGTCTAGTCCTGGTTCAGACCTGGTTTGGTCCTGGTTCGGTCCTAATTTGGTCCTGGTCTTAGTCCTGGTCTTAGTCCTGGTCCAGAGTGGGTTCAGCTCAGCGGCGCCCCCTCTGGACTCACCCACTCCCCGACGCTGTTGTGGTGCGTGGCGCTGCCCAGGACTTTAGGCTCCTCCCACAGGACGCGGTGTTCGCCCCAGCGCCGGATCTGACCACGAGCCTTCGCCGCGAAGACCACGAGAACGACCAGACCCACGACCACGAGGAACCCGAGGACGATGGCGATGGCCTGAGAGGAGAAGAAGAAGAAGATCAGAGAGAGGACCACGCAGGACAGGTCCAGGTCTAGTCCTGGTCTAGGTCCTGGTCTAGTCCAGTTTCAGTCCAGTTTCAGTACTGGTCTAGGTCCTAGTCCTAGGCCTAGGACTAGGCCTAGTCCTGGTCTAGTCCTGGTCCTGGTCTTGTACCTCCTGCGGCTCCACCACGCAGTAGTGGTAGAGGTACTGGTCTAGGTCCTGGTCTAGTCCTGGTCTAGTCCTGGTCTAGTCCTGGTCTAGTCCTGGTCTAGTCCTGGTCTAGTCCTGGTCTGGTCCAGGTCTTGGTCCAGGTCCTGGTTTAGTCCTGGTCCAGGTCTTGGTCCAGGTCCAGTACCTCCTGCGGCTCCACCACGCAGTAGTGGTAGAGGTACTGGTCTAGGTACTGGTCTAGGTCCTGGTCTAGTCCTGGTCTAGTCCTGGTCTAGTCCTGGTCTAGTCCTGGTCTGGTCCAGGTCTTGGTCCAGGTCCTGGTCTAGTCCTGGTCCAGGTCCAGGTCCAGTACCTCCTGCGGCTCCACCACGCAGTAGTGGTAGAGGTACTGGTCTAGGTCCTGGTCCTGGTCTAGTCCTGGTCTAGTCCTGGTCTAAGTCCTGGTCTAAGTCCTGGTCCAGGTCCTGGTCCAGGTCCAGGTCCAGTACCTCCTGCGGCTCCACCACGCAGTAGTGGTAGAGGTACTGGTTGACGAAGATGCCCTGGGCCTGGTTCTGGTTCTGGTACTGGGCACAGAGCTGCAGGACCTGGTTGTACATCATGGACCCGGAGCTTTGTGCCGTGGGGTTGACGGCGACGAGGTAAACGATGGTGGCGATGAGCATGAGGAAGGCGAGGACGGCGCCCACCACGATGGCGGCGAGGTAGAAGGTGTGTCCCCGCGCCGAGCTCTGCCGCGACACCACCATCACGAAGACGACCAGCACGGCGATGAAGGTGACGCCCGCCACGCCGATGATGAAGCCTTTACCGCTCTTGGGGTCCATGTACGTGCTCCCGCCGTAGCCGCCGTAGCCGCCGTAGCCGCCGCCGCCGTAGCCGCCGCCGCCGTACGAGCCGCCGCCGCCGTAGGAGCCGCCGTAGGAGCCGCCGTAGGAGCCGCCGCCGTAGCCGCCGCCGTAGCCGCCGTAGCCGGGCACCATGCCGCCCATCCCGCCCATCAGGCTCATGTCGTAGTCCCAGGCGAGCGTGGACGCGACGCAGGCGAACACGGCCACGCAGAAGATGATGATGATGATGGACACGATCTTCATGACGCCGGGAGGAGACGTCCAGCGGTAAAAGTGCAGCAGGTGATCGTCCGGCGAGTACGGAAACACCGGGTTAGAGACTTCACTGGGTCTGAACCGACCGCCGTGTCTGGAGGACAGAGAGAACTCAACCAGGACTCAACCAGGACTCAACCAGGACTCAAACAAGACTCAAACAAGACTCAAACAAGACTCAACCAGGACTCAACCAGGACTCAAACAGGACTCAAACAAGACCAGGACTCAACCAGGACTCAAACAGGACCAGGACTCAAACAGGACTCAACCAGGACTCAACCAGGACTCAAACAGGACTCAAACAGGACTCAAACAGGACTCAAACAGGACTCAACCAGGACTCAAACAAGACCAAGACTCAACCAGGACTCAACCAGGACTCAAACAGGACCAGGACTCAAACAGGACTCAACCAGGACTCAAACAAGACCAAGACTCAACCAGGACTCAACCAGGACTCAAACAGGACCAGGACTCAAACAGGACTCAACCAGGACTCAACCAGGACTCAAACAGGACTCAACCAGGACTCAACCAGGACTCAACCAGGACTCAACCAGGACTCAAACAAGACCAAGACTCAAACAGGACTCAACCAGGACTCAACAGGACTCAAACAGGACTCAAACAAGGACCAGGGACTCAAACCAGGACTCAAACAGGACTCAAACCAGGACTCAAACAGGACTCAAACAGGACTCAAACAGGACTCAAACAGGACTCAACCAGGACTCAAACAAGACCAGGACTCAACCAGGACTCAAACAAGACCAGGACTCAAACAGGACTCAAACAGGACTCAAACAGGACTCAAACAGGACTCAAACAGGACTCAAACAAGGACCAAGACTCAACCAGGACTCAACCAGGACTCAAACAGGACTCAAACAGGACTCAAACAGGACTCAACCAGGACTCAAACAGGACTCAAACAGGACTCAACCAGGACTCAACCAGGACTCAACCAGGACTCAACCAGGACTCAACCAGGACTCAAACAGGACTCAAGGACTCAAACCAGGACTCAAACAGGACTCAACAGGACTCAAACAGGACTCAACACAGGACTCAAACAGGACTCAAACAGGACTCAAACAGGACTCAACCAGGACTCAAACAAGACCAAGACTCAACCAGGACTCAACCAGGACTCAACCAGGACTCAAACAAGACCAGGACTCAACCAGGACTCAACCAGGACTCAACCAGGACTCAACCAGGACTCAAACAGGACTCAAACAGGACTCAAACAGGACCAAGACTCAACCAGGACTCAACCAGGACTCAACCAGGACTCAACCAGGACTCAACCAGGACTCAAACCAGGACTCAAACAGGACTCAACCAGGACTCAACCAGGACTCAACCAGGACTCAAACAGGACTCAACCAGGACTCAACCAGGACTCAACCAGGACTCAACCAGGACTCAACCAGGACTCAACCAGGACTCAAACAGGACTCAAACAACCAGGACTCAGGACTCAACCAGGACTCAACCAGGACTCAACCAGGACTCAAACAGGACTCAAACAGGACTCAAACAAGACCAAGACTCAACCAGGACTCAACCAGGACTCAAACAGGACTCAAACAGGACTCAAACAGGACTCAAACAGGACTCAACCAGGACTCAACCAGGTCTCAAACAAGACCAAGACTCAACCAGGACTCAACCAGGACTCAAACAAGACCAGGACTCAACCAGGACTCAACCAGGACTCAACCAGGACTCAACCAGGACTCAAACAGGACTCAAACAGGACTCAAACAGGACTCAAACAGACTCAACCAGGACTCAACCAGGACTCAACCAGGACTCAAACAGGACTCAAACAGGACTCAAACAGGACTCAACCAGGACTCAACCAGGACTCAACCAGGACTCAAACAGGACTCAACCAGGACTCAAACAAGACCAGGACTCAAACAAGACCAAGACTCAACCAGGACTCAACCAGGACTCAACTCAACCAGGACTCAAACAGGACTCAAACAGGACTCAAACAAGACCAGGACTCAAACAAGACCAAGACTCAACAGGACTCAACCAGGACTCAACCAGGACTCAACCAAGACTCAACCAGGACTCAACAAGACAAGACTCAACCAAGACTCAACCAGGACTCAAACAAGACTCAAGACTCAACCAGGACTCAACCAGGACTCAACCAGGACTCAAACTCAGGACTCAAACTCAGGACTTCAACCAGGACTCAAACAAGACCAGACCAACCAGACTCAACCAGGACTCAACCAGGACTCAAACAGGACTCAGGACTCAAACCAGGACTCAACCAGGACTCAACCAGGACTCAGGACTCAACTCAAGGACTCAGGACTCAACCAGGACTCAACCAGGACTCAACCAGGACTCAAACAAGACCAAGACTCAACCAGGACTCAACCAGGACTCAAACAGGACTCAAACAGGACTCAAACAAGACCAGGACTCAACCAGGACTCAACCAGGACTCAACCAGGACTCAACCAGGACTCAAACTCAACAAGGACCAAGGACTCAACCAGGACTCAACCAGGACTCAACCAGGACTCAACCAGGACTCAACCAGGACTCAACCAGGACTCATCAACAGGACTCAACCAGGACTCAAACTCAACCAGACTCAACCAGACTCAAACAGGACTCAACCAGGACTCAAACAGGACCAAGACTCAACCAGGACTCAACCAGGACTCAACCAGGACTCAACCAGGACTCAACCAGGACTCAACCAGGACTCAACCAGGACTCAAACAGGACTCAAACAGGACTCAAACAGGACTCAAACAGGACTCAAACAAGACTCAAACAAGACCAGGACTCAACCAGGACTCAACCAGGACTCAACCAGGACTCAACCAGGACTCAACCAGGACTCAAACAGGACTCAAACAGGACTCAACCAGGACTCAAACAGGACTCAAACAAGACCAGGACTCAACCAGGACTCAACCAAGACTCAAAAGACAGGACTCAACCAGGACTCAACAGGACTCAAACAGGACTCAAACAAGACTCAAGGACTCAACCAGGACTCAACCAGGACTCAACCAGGACTCAACAGGACTCAACTCAACCAGGACTCAACACAGGACTCAAACAGACTCAACCAGGACTCAACCAGGACTCAGGACTCAACCAGGACTCAACCAGGTCTCAAACAAGGACCAAGACTCAACCAGGACTCAACCAGGACTCAAACAGGACTCAGGACTCAAGGACAAAGACCAGGACTCAACCAGGACTCAACCAGGACTCAACCAGACTCAAACCAGGACTCAAACAGGACTCAAACAAGACTCAAGACTCAACCAGGACTCAACCAGGACTCAAACAGACTCAACAGGACTCAACTCAACCAGGACTCAAACCAGGACTCAAACAGGACTCAACAGGACTCAAGGACTCAAAACAGGACTCAAGGACCAACCAGACTCAACCAGGACTCAAACAGGACTCAAACAGGACTCAAACAAGACTCAAACTCAACCAGGACTCAACCAGGACTCAACCAGGACTCAACCAGGACTCAACAGACTCAAACAAGACCAGGACTCAAACAAGACTCAAGACTCAACCAGACTCAACCAGGACTCAACCAGGACTCAACCAGGACTCAACCAAACCAGGACTCAACCAGACTCAACCAAGACTCAAGACTCAACCAGGACTCAACCAGGACTCAACCAGGACTCAACCACTCAGGACTCAACAGGACTCAACCACAGACTCAAAGACTCAAACAGGACTCAACCAAGACCAGGACTCAACCAGACTCAACCAAGACTCAACCAGGACTCAACCAGGACTCAACAGGACTCAACCAGGACTCAAACAACTCAAGACTCAACCAGGACTCAACCAGACTCAACCAGGACTCAAACAGGACTCAAACAGGACTCAACCAGGACTCAACCAGGACTCAACCAGGACTCAACCAGGACTCAACCACAGGACTCAACCAGGACTCAAACAAGGACTCACAAGACTCAAGACTCAAACCAGGACTCAACCAGGACTCAACCAGGACTCAACCAGGACTCAACCAGGACTCAACCAGGACTCAACCAGGACTCAACCAGGACTCAACCAGGACTCAACCACAGGACTCAAACAGGACTCAAACAGGACTCAAACAGACTCAAACAGGACTCAAACAGGACTCAAACAAGACTCAAGACTCAACCAGGACTCAACCAGGACTCAACCAGGACTCAAACAGGACTCAAACAGGACTCAAACAGGACTCAAACAGGACTCAAACAGGACTCAACCAGGACTCAAACAGGACTCAAACAGGACTCAAACAGGACTCAAACAAGACCAAGACTCAAACAAGACCAAGACTCAACCAGGACTCAACCAGGACTCAACCAGGACTCAAACAGGACTCAAACAGGACTCAAACAAGACCAGGACTCAAACAAGACCAAGACTCAACCAGGACTCAACCAGGACTCAACCTCAAACAGGACTCAACCAACCAGGACTCAACCAGGACTCAACCAGGACTCAACCAGGACTCAAAACAGGACTCAAGACTCAAAACAGGACTCAACCAGGACTCAACCAGGACTCAAACCTCAACCAGGACTCAACCACTCAAGGACTCAAGACTCAACCAGGACTCAAACAAGACCAGGACTCAACCAGGACTCAACCAGGACTCAACCAGGACTCAAACAGGACTCAAACAGGACTCAAACAGGACTCAACCAGGACTCAACCAGGACTCAACCAGGACTCAACCAGGACTCAACCAGGACTCAACCAGGACTCAACCAGGACTCAAACAGGACTCAAACAGGACTCAAACAGGACTCAAACAGGACTCAAAACCAGGACTCAACAGGACTCAAACAGGACTCAACCAGAAACAGGACTCAAACAGGACTCAAACAGGACTCAACCAGGACTCAAACAAGACCAGGACTCAACCAGGACTCAACCAGGACTCAGACTCAACCAGGACTCAAACAAGACCAAGACTCAACCAGGACTCAACCAGGACTCAAACAGGACAGGACTCAAACTCAACCAGACTCAACCAGGACTCAAACCAGGACTCAAACCAGGACTCAACCAGGACTCAACCAGGACTCAAACAGGACTCAAACAAGGACTCAGGACTCAACAGGACTCAACCAGGACTCAACCAGGACTCAACCAGGACTCAACCAAGACTCAACCAAGACTCAAACAAGACCAAGACTCAACCAGGACTCAACCAGGACTCAACCAGGACTCAAACAACCAGGACTCAACCAGGACTCAACCAGGACTCAACCAGAAACAGGACTCAAACAGGACTCAAACAAGACCAAGACTCAACCAGGACTCAACCAGGACTCAACCAGGACTCAACCAGGACTCAACCAGGACTCAGGACTCAAACAGGACTCAAACGGACTCAACCAGGACTCAACCAGGACTCAGGACTCAAACAAGGACCAAGACTCAAACCAGGACTCAACCAGGACTCAAACAAGACCAGGACTCAACCAGGACTCAACCAGGACTCAAACCAGGACTCAACCAGGACTCAACCAGGACTCAACCACTCAAGACCAAGGACTCAACCAGGACTCAAACAGGACTCAAACAAGACTCAAGGACTCAACCAGGACTCAACCAGGACTCAACCAGGACTCAACCAGGACTCAAACAGGACTCAACAGGACTCAAACAGGACTCAAACAGGACTCAAACAGGACTCAAACAAGACCAGGACTCAACCAGGACTCAACCAGGACTCAACCAGGACTCAACCAGGACTCAACCAGGACTCAACCAGGACTCAACCAAGACTCAACCAAGACTCAAACAAGACCAAGACTCAACCAGGACTCAACCAGGACTCAACCAGGACTCAACCAGGACTCAACCAAGACTCAAACAAGACCAAGACTCAACCAGGACTCAACCAGGACTCAACCAGGACTCAACCAGGACTCAACCAGGACTCAACCAGGACTCAACCAGAACCAGGACTCAAACAGGACTCAACCAGGACTCAACCAGGACTCAACCAGACTCAGGACTCAACCAGGACTCAACCAGGACTCAAGGACTCAACCAGGACTCAAGACTCAACAGGACTCAACCAGGACTCAACCAGGACTCAAGACTCAACCAAGACTCAACCAGGACTCAACCAGGACTCAACCAGGACTCAACCAGGACTCAACCAAGGACTCAAACAGGACTCAAACAAGGACTCAAACCAGGACTCAACCAGGACTCAACCAGGACTCAACCAGGACTCAACCAGGACTCAAACAGGACTCAACCAAGACTCAAACAAGACCAAGACTCAACCAGGACTCAAACAAGACCAGGACTCAACCAGGACCAGGACTCAAACAAGACCAAGACTCAACCAGGACTCAACCAGGACTCAACCAGGACTCAACCAGGACTCAACCAGGACTCAAACAGGACTCAACCAGGACTCAAACAGGACTCAACCAGGACTCAACCAGGACTCAACCAAGACTCAAACAAGACCAAGACTCAACCAGGACTCAACCAGGACTCAACCAGAACCAGGACTCAACCAGGACTCAACCAGGACTCAACCAGGACTCAACCAGGACTCAACCAGAACCAGGACTCAACCAGGACTCAACCAGAACCAGGACTCAAACAGGATTCAACCAGGACTCAACCAGGACTCAAACAGGACTCAAACAGGACTCAAACAGGACTCAACCAGGACTCAAACAAGACCAAGACTCAACCAGGACCAAGACTCAACCAGGACTCAACCAGAACCAGGACTCAACCAGGACTCAACCAGAACTCAACCAGAACCAGGACTCAACCAGAACTCAACCAGGACTCAACCAGGACTCAAACAGGACTCAACCAGGACTCAACCAGGACTCAACAAGACCAAGACTCAACCAGGACCAAGACTCAACCAGGACTCAACCAGAACCAGGACTCAACCAGGACTCAAACAAGACCAAGACTCAACCAGGACTCAACCAGGACTCAACCAGGACTCAACCAGGACTCAACCAGGACTCAACCAGGACTCAACCAGGACTCAAACAAGACCAAGACCAGGACTTAAACAAGACCAAGACCAGGACTCAAACAAGACTCAAACAAGACCAAGACCAGGACTCAACCAGGATCTAAACAATGACTAAACTGGGTTAAAATGGGTCTAAACCAAGATCTAAACGAGATCTAAACCAGGTCTAAAACCAGGACTAAATCAAGACTAAACCAGTACTAAAACCAGAACTAAACCAGGACAAGAGCAGGTCTAAACCAGGTCTAAACCAGGTCTAAACCAGGTCTAAACCAGGTCTAAACCAGGTCTAAACCAGGACTTGAGGAGTACTCACAGTTTGCTGCTGGAGTGTTTGTTGCTCGGCATTTTGAAATCTCACTTGTCCTGAAAACAAAACAAAAAAACAAAAAAAACTTCAGCTTCAGAAGATCAGAGAAAAGAAACGACAAGAACATGAAGAAACATCTGAGCAGAAGAGAAGGAGAACAGAGAAGAACCAGGACTAAACCAGGTCTAAACCAGGTCTAAACCAGGACTGAACCAGGTCTAAACCAGGTCTAAACCAGGACTGAACCAGGACTAAACCAGGACTGAACCAGGACTGAACCAGGACTGAACCAGGACTAAACCAAGACTAAACCAGAGACTAAACCAGGACTAAACCAGGACTGAACCAGGACTGAACCAGGACTGAACCAGGACTGAACCAGGACTAAACCAGGAATAAAACAGGACTAAACCAGGACTAAACCAGGACTAAACCAGGTCTAAACCAGGACTAAACCAGGACTAAACCAGGACTAAACCAGGACTAAACCAGGACTAAACCAGGACTAAACCAGGACTAAACCAGGACTGGACCAGGACTGAACCAGGACTGAACCAGGACTAAACCAGGACTAAACCAGGACTGAACCAGGACTGAACCAGGACTAAACCAGGACTGAACCAGGACTGAAACCAGGACTAAACCAGGACTAAACCAGGACTAAACCAGGACTAAAACAGGACTAAACCAGGTCTAAACCAGGACTAAACCAGGTCTAAACCAGGACTAAACCAGGACTAAACCAGGTCTAAACCAGGACTAAACCAGGACTAAACCAGGACTAAACCAGGTCTAAACCAGGACTAAACCAGGACTAAACCAGGACTAACCAGGACTGACCAGGACTGAACCAGGACTGAACCAGGACTGAACCAGGACTGAACCAGGACTAAACCAGGACTGAACCAGGACTGAACCAGGACTAAACCAGGACTAAACCAGGACTAAACCAGGAATAAAACAGGACTAAACCAGGTCTAAACCAGGACTAAACCAGGACTAAACCAGAACTAAACCAGGACTAAACCAGGACTAAACCAGGACTAAACCAGGACTAAACCAGGACTAAAACAGGACTAAACCAGGACTAAACCAGAACTAAACCAGGACTAAACCAGGACTAAACCAGGACTAAACCAGGACTAAACCAGGACTAAACCAGGTCTAAACCAGGACTAAACAAGGACTAAACCAGGACTAAACCAGAACTAAACCAGGACTAAACCAGGACACTTTCACCCTGTCACACTTTCACCTTTTCACACTTTTTTCACACTTGTTCTCCTCTTTGTTTCCTGAAGCGCAGGAAAAGTCCAGAGTTAAACTGAAGTCGAGTTTCAGATCAAATGTTTTTCTCTCGTCTTTTGTTTTGGTGCCAACATTTCCTCCTCCTCCTCTTTTTCTCTTTTCTCTTCCTTCTCTCCGTGACTCCTGCGTTTTCACTTTAGTTTTAGTTTTAAATTTAAACAAAAACAAAAAAACAAAAAAACAAAAACAAAACTACATCTAACCAAGTTCAGGCTCACCCAATAAATAAATAAAAAGTTTGATCACGACTTGAGTCAGTGTCACTTCGAGTAAAATGATCTGCCAGTGGAACAAGACTTTAGTGGGTTAAAATTTAAAATATGGAAAAACAAAAAATAAAAATTTAATCTTGTTTGAATGAAGAAAACCAGATTCCATCGGTCGATAATTTCACTTTTCAAGTTGAATCTGGTCAAATAAAGTTAAATGTTTTTCATTGAAGTCATTTCAACTCACCTGGATGTTGTTTTTTTCCAGTCGAGTCCCGAGTCCCAACAGGTTTATAAAAATCCACCGATTTGTCCCAGTTTTCTACAGAAACGTCCCAAGTGTCCGAACCTGCGACAGTCAAGAGACAAAAACTCACATTTGTTTGGGTCAAATACAGAAAATCTGCTGAAAAACGACAAAACACAAAGAAAATGTGACGATGCTGACGATGTTTTATTAAAACAAACAAACCTCCACGAACCGAGTGTCACAGTTTTAGGTTTTGTAATTCTGCTCTGGTCTCGCGCTCCAGAAAAAAACTAGAGATCTCCGCGAATTCTGACCAAGAGACAAAGGCCAAGGCATCCGGTTTAACGAAACTCCCGCACCCACAACACACGATGACACACGATGATGACACGCCATCATGTCATGTGACATACGACGAACACACACCGACCCCTGCCCACGGCCCCGCGCGACAAAACACGAAATTTAACCCAAAACTCTCCGGAAACATCACAGAAAAGCATCTCCGCGCTCACCTGCGCTCACCTGCGCTCACCTGTGCTCACCTGCGCTTCGCTCTTTTCCTCCGTCGTTCTTCTGTTTTCACGCAGCGCGCGGACCCGTCGTGTCTCTGAGGATGAACTGAGCCGTGCGCGCGCTCAGGTGACACAAAGGGACACGTGCACGCGGATGACAGGTGTGTGTGGCCCCGCCCCCTCAGCCTCCCCAGACCGGATTTACCTGTTTACGCGCGCACGCGCTTTCACGGAAATTGCCGAGGTTCTCCGAAAGAGCCAGTTTCGGCCCCGGTCCTGTTCCACGGTCTGGTCCTGGTCTCTGGTCCTGGTCTTGGTCTCTGGTCTTTGGTCTCTGGTCTCTGGGGTCTGGGGTCTGGGGTCTGGTCTTGGTCTTGGTCTGGTCTCTGGTCCTGGTCTCTGGTTTTTGGTCTTGGTCTGGTCTGGGTCTGGTCTTGGTCTCTGGTCCTGGTCTTGGTCTCTGGTCTCTGGGGTCTGGGGTGTGGTCTTGGTCTTGGTCTGGTCTCTGGTTTTTGGTCTTGGTCTGGTCTTGGTCTCTGGTCCTGGTCTTTGGTCTCTGGTCCTGGTCTTGGTCTTGGTCTCTGGTGTCTGGTCTGGGTCTCGGGTCTCGGTCTTGGTCTGGTCTGGTCTCTGGTCTCGGTCTCCGCTCTGTCTCTGGTCTGGTCTCTGGTTTTTGGTCTTGGTCTGGTCTGGGTCTGGTCTTGGTCTCTGGTCCTGGTCTTGGTCTCTGGTCTCTGGGGTCTGGGTGTGGTCTTGGTCTTGGTCTGGTCTCTGGTTTTTGGTCTTGGTCTGGTCTTGGTCTCTGGTCCTGGTCTTTGGTCTCTGGTCCTGGTCTTGGTCTTGGTCTCTGGTGTCTGGTCTGGGTCTCGGGTCTCGGTCTCGGTCTTGGTCTGGTCTCTGGTCTCTGGTCTGGTCTCGGTCTCAGTCCCGCTCTAGTCCTGGTCTGGTCCCGGTCTGGTCCCGGTCTCAGTCCCGCTCTAGTCCTCTGGTCCCGGTCTGGTCCTCTGGTCCTGGTCCTCCCCGGTCTGGTCCCGGTCTGGTCCCGGTCTCTGGTCCCGGTCTGGTCCCGGTCTGGTCTAGGTCCCGGTCCCGTCCTGGTCCTGGTCCTGGTCTGGTCCCGGTCTGGTCCCGGTCTGGTCCCGGTCTGGTCCCGGTCTGGTCCCGGTCTGGTCCCGGTCTGGTCCCTGGTCTGGTCCGTCTCCCTCTGGTCTCAGTCCCGGTCTCGGTCCCGGTCCCTCTAGTCCCGGTCTGGTCCCGGGTCTGGTCCGGTCTGGTCCCGGTCTGGTCTGGTCTGGTCCCGGTCTGGTCCCGGTCTGGTCTCAGTCCCGCTCTAGTCCCGGTCTAGTCCTGGTCTGGTCCCGGTCTGGTCCCGGACCTGGATCAGTCCTGGTTCAGTCACTGGAGACACGTAAACGGGAAACGGTCGTTATGTTTTTTCCTTTCTTCATTTAAACACAAAATCAAAAACTGAAAAAAAAAATCATTTTCTGTTTTTTCATTTTGGTTTTGGAGACAAATAACGAAGAAAATATTTGTTTCTTTATTTTCTTATTTTTGGTTTTATTTTGAAAAACTAATGAACGAACGACACACAGATTATCGGGCCTCGTCTTCATGTGGCCCAGTGTCAGGAGTAACAGATTACAAGTACCGGAGTAATCAGAGTACAAATGATGAGTAACTGTATTCAGTTACAGTTACTGTTTCAGTGAGTGGTAATTGGATTACAGTTACTTTGTTAAATAACCAGGAACTAAACAGGACTAAACCAGGACTAAACCAGGACTAAACCAGGAAACCAGGTCTAAAACCAGGACTAAACCAGGTCTAAACCAGGACTAAACCAGGACTAAACCAGGTCTAAACCAGGACTAAACCAGGACCAGCTAAACAAAAACCAGGACTAAACCAGGACTAAACCAGGACTAAACCAGGACTAAACAACCAGGACTAAACCAGGACTAAACAGGACTAAAACCAGGACTAAACCAGGACTAAAACCAGGACTAAACCAGGACTAAAACCAGGACTAAACCAGGAACTAAAACCAGGA